CTCACAAAGCATGGTAATTCTTACACAAGTACAGATTACAGACCTGGGCAAGGGTAAGATTTTATAATTTTCTAATAAGTTTGAAATCAAGACCCAGTCATGCTTTATGGTTCCGTAATAGTTATACAACATGTAAAGCATGCTACTATTTTTTCCTTTCATAACAGACCCCCAAGACCTCCAGGAAGAAGGTTTGGAAGAATCGGTGGAGGAGGAGGTGGTACGTAGTTCATTGATTAACATTTTGGGGTTTAGTGACATATTCAATGTAATGCCTGTATTATTGTACTGAAGTGCACATTCCCCAAAATCAGCACCATTCAAATACAGAATGTTCAGAATCTGGGAAAAGAAATAGCATAAATATGCAAAAAGCCACACCAAGAGTCAGTTGTGTGCGATTTTAATTTCATATGTGAGATACCTGGGAAAAGGTTTTACCCAAATTTATAAAGGTTTGTATGGAGGTACCTTGTTGTTGTCCCTTTGAGGGGCACAAATATGGCAGCCGGAAAATAACAGAAACATCTGTCTTTGAGGTTTGCTTTGAGGAACTCATAAAGATTGTAATATTTATTCTGTGACAAGGAATGTTTAATAGATAGCAAAATCTGAAATAATGGTAACGTTTATAACCTACAGTTATATGAGAGCTTTCCTGGCTGCCAACTAAATTCCATGTCACGCAAAAGTTTGGAAATTCAAGCACCCTCTATTGCAAAAAGACGAACCCTTTCGAACCGAAAATGTGTATAGATAAAGGTGTTTAGCTGCTGTAATATCTCATGAAATTGAACACTAAGAAGAATGAAGAACTCTTAGTTTGAATATTGGTGGCGTCATGTGAAAACTGAGAATAATTCTTACGCATTCTTACGCCTAACAGCACGTAATTTCATGCATGATTAGCGCATGCCTGAAGGCTGAAGCTCCATTTCCTCCTTTAAAAGTTTGGTCACCCATTATTCGTTTTCTCTTTTTCAAAAAAAAAAATGAGCAGTAACTTTCTTTTGTTAGAATAAAATATACACTAATTCCCAGTGTAGAGAGAGGAACAATCGTTGGAAACGTGTCCAAAGCATGTATTGGTAATTATAACCATGTTGGTATTTTATATTAAGGAATGGTTGAGTATATACAAGTTGCCCTTGCTCCTAAAAGAGTGTGGGGACCCCTGATTACATTTCAGAATTTAAGTTTCAACAACAAAAAGGACCAATCAGTAAAGACAGACAAAAATTAAATCTCACAGAGAAATGCCCTTAAATGTATTGATTTCAGTTGTTCATTTTAGGTGCACCATACAATCCTGGACCTCCAATGGGTGGTGGATGAGGAAGGTATGTGATTTTCAGTTATGAAATTTCAAAAGTACATGAGAAACAATGTAACTCAAACTCTGGAGGGAAACGAAAAACGGTGAGAGTTAGCGGGGGTTCGAGTTATCGAGACTGATTGAATATTCAATTTGCCATGTTGACAATTGATAGTTACTAATTTTTTAGCACTACAGTGTATAGAACAGTGCAAATTTACTTATTCCATCAATAATGGTGACATGATTATGCATTTTTATGATACAAGACAATCTGCTCGTTGCAACAATATTATTAAAATCAAATTGCTGTAGGGTTAGTTTTAGTGTTCTTACCAATGATACAACCAGATGAGCTAATGCAGTGGCATCCAAGTCGAGTCAGAAGAACCAGAATTTGAGTTATCAGCCGGGGGAAATTTTAGTTAAATTTTAATCAAGGGGAAGGAATTAAATCCAAGGAAAATAGGACTAAGTTTGAGTTAGTGAGGAGTTCGAATTATCCAAGTTTGAGTTTTCGAAGCTCTACTGTAGAATCATATTTTGATTACAGTAAAATATACCTAACTGCTCTTTTGGTTTATTATGAATTCTGGCTACTACATGTAAAAGCCTAACCAGATATCAGCTCCCCATAAGAAACTTTGCTGTACCTAAAGTCAATGTAGCCTGTTCCAGGTGTTCACCACAGATAGTAGAAAATGATGCCAAACAGAGAGTAGAGAGAAGAAAAACTGAAGACAGGAAGAAGGGATAGAATTCTTCTCTTGCTTTCTCTCCCTACCCACCCTGTCCTTGTTTTTTCCTGTTCACCTCTCTCTGTGCTTTTTCCATTATTTGAAAAGGCTAAAGGGGTGCATTATTGTAATAGTCAGCACTTTGGATTTCAGGTCCATAATTTACAAACTGAAAGGAATCCTAAGGGCCCGTTTACATGTTAGTGGGGACCCAGTTAGCCCAAAAAAAACTTAGTTCCCACGAAAATGCCATGTTATATGGTAGGCAGGCTCCTTTGCTTTAACTTGTAGCACCCATACCGTGTAGGGCCTGTTAACCTCAAGCACTCCCTTGCTGTAACCTTTGCCTTTTGTGACTGTAGGTAGATGCTTGGTATTCTGGCTTGCCAGCTGGTAATGTCAAGCGTAATATGAAGACAGCAGAAAGATTCTGTGTATCACTGCAGCAGATATTTGACGCCTCCTGGGGAAAACCATACTTGGCACCTGGACAGTGGCTGATGCTTCCTTGTTGNTAGAAAATGATGCCAAACAGAGAGTAGAGAGAAGAAAAACTGAAGACAGGAAGAAGGGATAGAATTCTTCTCTTGCTTTCTCTCCCTACCCACCCTGTCCTTGTTTTTTCCTGTTCACCTCTCTCTGTGCTTTTTCCATTATTTGAAAAGGCTAAAGGGGTGCATTATTGTAATAGTCAGCACTTTGGATTTCAGGTCCATAATTTACAAACTGAAAGGAATCCTAAGGGCCCGTTTACATGTTAGTGGGGACCCAGTTAGCCCAAAAAAAACTTAGTTCCCACGAAAATGCCATGTTATATGGTAGGCAGGCTCCTTTGCTTTAACTTGTAGCACCCATACCGTGTAGGGCCTGTTAACCTCAAGCACTCCCTTGCTGTAACCTTTGCCTTTTGTGACTGTAGGTAGATGCTTGGTATTCTGGCTTGCCAGCTGGTAATGTCAAGCGTAATATGAAGACAGCAGAAAGATTCTGTGTATCACTGCAGCAGATATTTGACGCCTCCTGGGGAAAACCATACTTGGCACCTGGACAGTGGCTGATGCTTCCTTGTTGTCTTTTATTTTGTATAAGAGAATGTAGATATTAAAAGATTACAAACAGCGTTGAT